TGCTGTGCCACCCCCAGCCACAACAGATCAGGTAAGAGAACTTTCTCTCCTGTAGAGTCATCATCTCGTCCATGAAAGTGTACACCGGGGGTCCTCAGACTTTTTAAACGGGGCCAGTTCACTGTCCCTCAGAGCGTTGGAGGGCCGGACTATAGTTTAAAAAAAACTATGAACAAATTCCTATGCACACTGCACATATCTTATTTTGAAGTAAAAAAACAAAACGGGAACAAATACAATATTTGTATTTGCATGTGGCCCGCGGGCCATAGTTTGAGGACCCCTGGTCTAGATGGTCACAGCTTTCATGCTGTTGAGTGAGGAAGGGCATTTAAAATAACCCAGAAAATTAGTAAAATATTTGTAAGAAGATTAAAATCTTTGAAGTTGAAAGAACAGTTTCTACTTGAGGCTGAGCTGAATACACAGCAGGGAAAAAGGGCGGACAGTCCTAACTCTAGGGTGTATTGAAAGGCCCGCCCTCTGACTCAGGGTTATGTCCATTCTTCAGCGAGCAAAGCTTCCAGGGAAAGTGTTGTGGGCCTTCCGTGTGTTCCTGAAGGTTGAGTTTACATTTAATTTATAAAAGTAAATAATTTTAGCCCCGACCCGTGTGACTCAGTTGATTGGGCTTCGTCTCTGCACCAAAAGGTTGCCAGTTCGATTCCCAGTCAGGGCACATGCCCAGGTTTCCGGCTCAATTCCCAGTAGGTGGTGTGCAGGAGGCCACTGATCAATGTTTCACTCTCACATTGATGTTTCTCTCCCTTTCCCTTCCTCTCTCTCTAAAAATCAATTTAAAATAACTTTAAAGTACCATGTGAGTATAGCAGTTAAGGAAATTCCCCATTAAGTGTCTACTAGCATATAGTAGTTAATCTGTAGAATAGTTTCCTTAAGCAGCTTCTCTCTGTTGTGGATAACTTTCTTTCCCCCGATATGGCATTTATAAGTGATAATACTTGTCTTGTTTGTTTGTTTGTTTTCAGAAGTGACCAAAGTTCGAAGAAATCTCTTCACCCAGGAAATTTCTCCTTCAAAGAGACCGGCGAGGCGGGGGCTGCCGAGAAGCCACTCGGTGTCAGCCGTGGAGGGCCTGCAGCGCAAGCTGGACGGCGTGGGCAGGACCAGAGGTAACTCCACAGCCACCCAGGCAGGGGCTGCTCACCACCCAGTCCCGAGACCCGCTTTACGGCAGGAGCTCATGCGTCTCCCGTTTCCCCTTCTCTGTGGTTGCCTCCAGCTACTCTTCCCCTCGGGGTCGCTCCAGCTGGGGTGGAAATTAATCCTGGTCTCTCTCAGCCCCCCTTCCCAGTTACCCCTGCAGACACGCATCTATTTTATAAAACCACTTCTCTTATAAAACACAGTTAAAAAGAAATGAAGAGTAGTGATTAAACAGTTTTCTTAGTGTTTTTTGGGGGGGAGGGGCTGTATTTTTGTTGTTGTTGTTATTTTTAGATGATTGAGAGCTCATTCATGTATTGAAGTATGTGATTCAGTGGTTTCGGTATCTTCCAGCCCGTTTTCATCGCTCCAGAAAGAACCTCACACCCATTAGCAGGCACTCGCTGCTGTGGGCAAGAGCCAGTCTGCCTTCTGTGTTTATGGATTTGCCTTTGGTGGGCATTTCCTGTAAGTGGCATAAGTCATAAGACAGGGCCCAGCGCTTCGTGTATTTTTAGGGCCAGCGTACATCACTGCATGGATAAATTACATTGTACTTATCCGTTCACCAATTGGTGGGCATTTGGGTTGTTTAAAATTTACAATTTGGCCATTGTAAATGCTACAGACATTCATATACAAGGTTTTGTATAGATGTGTTTTTAATTCTCAGGTATATGACTAGAAATGGGTTTGCTGGGTCATTTGGTAACTCCATGTTTAACTTTTTGAGGATTACCAAACTGTTTGCCAGAGTAGCTGCCCCATTTTACATTCCCACCAGCAATGTATGAGGGCTCCTCCACATCCTCATCACCACCTTTTACTGTCTCTCTCTCATTTTTTTATTTTATTTATTTTTTTAATTATTGTTGAAAATATTACATATGTCCCCTTCCCCCTCCCTACATTGACCCCCTCCAGCCCACCCCCAGCCTTCGTCACCCTATTGTCTGTGTCTGTGGGTCCTGCATATATGCATACAAGGTCTTTGGTTGCTTATCTCCCACCCATCTGCTTCCCCTGCCTTCCCTCCAAGATACTGTCTCTCTTATTCCACCCTTTCGAGTGGGTGTGTGTCCAGTCGTAGCTTACAGTGGTGATGAGTTGCGTTGTCCTGATAACTGATGTTGAGATCACTGGCTATTCATGTACTTTCTTTGGAGAAATGTCTCTTCAAATTTTTGCCTATTTTTCTATTGGGTTTGTCTTTCTACTGTTGAGGTTCTTTATCTATTCTAGGTACTTATGAGATCTATGACTTGCAAATATTTTATCCAAACTGTGGGTTGTCTTTTTACGTTCTTGAGAGTGTCCACCAAAGCTTTTAATTTCGATGAAGTCCACTTGATTCAATTTAGCAGCTTTTGTTGTTGCTTGTGCTTTTGGTGTCATATCTAAAAAACCACCATGTAACCCAGATCTTCTACTGTAAGCTCTGACATTTAGGTCTGATTCGTTTTGAATTCATTTTTGTATATGAGATTGTGGGAGACAGGAGTCCAGCCTCACTCTTTTCTATCCACTGAGCCAAACCGGTTTCGGCCCAGTCTCACTCTTGAGCATGTGACTATCCAACTGTCCCAGCCCCATTTGTTGAAAGGACTATTTTTTTCTTTAAAACAGGGAAAAATGGCAGCCTGGTCTACAGTCAGTGGACCACATGTGATGCAGTGTTCATTCCTCTTTCATTGTGGGTAGAATTCAGCAGGGAAGCCATCTAGTCCGAGCCTTCCTTATGGGAACTCTTTTGAAAATGAATCCCATCTTTGTACTTGTCAGGGTTTATTTAGATTTTCTGTTTCTTCTTGTGTCTGTTTTCAGTAGTTTGTGTCTTTCGAGGGGTTTGTCCGTTTCACCCAGGTTATCTAATTTTTGGCTACAATTGATCCTAGTATTCCCTTCTACTCCGTCTTATTTCTGTGAGAATGAGTTATGTCCTCTCTTTCATTTCTGATTTTGTAGGTTGAATCTCTTTTTCTGTCAGACTAACTAAAAAGGTTTGTCAATGATTAATTTTTTCAAAGAATCAACTTGGTTTATTTTTTATTTTTTTAAATATGTTTTTATTGATTTCCATCCCTATTCCTCTCTGATGTCATTACCAATGACATCTTTATAAATTATGTGCCCATTAACACAGATTTATAATTATTGTTTCATGCATTTGCCTTTTAGATCACATAGGGAAAACAGAGAGGTTGCAAACCAAAGTACCACACTTCTGGCCTAATGTACACGTGTGCAGTTACCTTTTCCTGTGTTCATTTCTTCCAGCTTCCAGTCACTGTCTAGTGTCCTTTCATTTCAACCTGAAGCGCTGCTCCTATATAGTTACATTTCCCACCCTTTCCTTTTTCTGTTGTCATACAAGTTACATCTTTATACATTGTCTGCCTTTCGATACAAATTTATAATCATTGCTTTATATTTTAACTCACAGGAGAGAAAAACAGTTACAAAAAATGGTTTTACACCGTCTTCTGTATTTACGCAGTTACCTTTCCCAGAGCCCTTTACTCCTGTGGCTGCGAGTTACTCTCTAGTGCCCTTTCCTTTCAGCCTGCGGACTCCCTTTAGTGTTACTTATGGGGCAGGTTTGCTGGTGACGGTTTCTATGGGGGGCGAGGGGGGGCTTGTTTTTATAATCAGGGAGTGTGCTCATTTCTCCTTTGGTTTTGAATAATAGTTTTGCTGGATACTGAAGTGTTGATTGACTCTTTCTTCTTTTGACACTTTGGATATGTCATCACACTGCCTGATGAGAAATCAGCTGTAGATCTTACCCAGGATCCCTTGTAGCTGATAAATCGCTGCATATCAACATTGTCATATATTTTATTTTATTTAATTGTAAACACTAGAGCCACCAACTAGGTGCACAGATGCGTTAGCGGC